CTTCCAGGATCACACATGGTACAGAGGGACACTGAATAGAAGCTGGATTTCCATACATCCAAAGGTCTTAGCCCCCCGTGCTTTCTATAGATATAGAAGTGGCCATGTTCTCCTCCATAGGGCTGGAATTCCTCAGGAGGTTACTGATCGGAAAGGCTCCCCAAGCCCTCTGAACTACTGCTATGTTCTGACCCCTCACATGGAACAGGAGACATGCAAGAGGGGCACCAGCAGCTCAGGGGAGCAGAGGGGGAGCTGGAGTGGAGTTCTCCCCTAAGGACCTAAAACACAAGGCAATTAGAGATGGGATGCAAACACCTGGATCCCAAGGAGGCTTTTAGGACAAAACTGTACATTCACACAGGTTTTTTTAAACAAACATGAGTAAATTTTAAAAACCAAATTCGGGCCCATTGCTCACTGCTCCACAGGAAAATGAGGAGTGAGAGATGAAACTGATAAGATGAAATATGAAATGGAGATATATAGATATAGATATATGTATATATTTCGTTCCTTCCTTTCTTTCTTTTATATATTTATTTTTTGAGACAAAATGCCCCAGGCAGAGCTAAAACTCACTCTCAAACCAAGAATTACTTTGAAGTTATGATCTTCCTGTGTCACAATTATTTCAGACTGGGACACCCTGCCACTTTATAGAATTTTGGGGGCTCTAATCCAGGTTTTTATGGGTGCTACACAAAGACTTGGTACAATGAGCTACGACCTCATCCCAGAAATGAGTGTCTTTATAATCGCAGCCAGAAACAGAAAAAAATAATTCTAAGGGCCCTGGACACTTCACCAACAGCAGATTCAGATTATATACAGCAAAGATAAAGAACAGGAAACATGCAAATACAGACAGTGGTGAGGTGATTATTAGAACTGTGAAGTAGGTCTTTTCTGGGAGAAGAAATCCAGCACCAGGACTGCAGAATATTTCCACCCCAAAACAGGAACTTCCTGGACACATGCTAGTACTCCAGGGCCCCTTTTATTCTAAGAGTGACCAGAACATGTTGGGAATAGTTGGCTGCCTTGGAACCAGTCTGACCACATGCCAGCGAAGGGGCTGTTTGACTGACAGTTCTGGGATGGAGACCAGGGTGTAAAGGCCTGCTCTTGACACTTTGACCATTCAGAGAAGACACTAGAAGTGGGGGGGGGAGTGTGTACAAGAGAAAGGTGAGGAACCTGAGCACAGGTATGACAATTCTCACAGCTTTTGCCAGCACTCATGAAGGCTGAACAGTACTACTAATCTCCTCCCCAGTAGCCCTGGTGAAGATGAGCCCTCTGATCTGCCTGCTGAAGGACCAGCAGGCCCTGCAACCCTGACCAAGCTCCTGGAAAGGCAGAGCATGGAAGCATGACAGGCTCTAACTTCACTTTGTGTGAAATCCTAAAAAAGAACCTCCCAGATAAACACATTTGCTTAATAACCCTTCTCTGGCTTAGTGGAGCAGGAGATCCCAGCTGGATCAAGAACGGAGAGGGAGAACAAGGAAAGAGAGACCATGATAAATGAAGACCCCATGGAAATAGGAAAAAGCAAAGTGCTAGAGAGGTCCCCAGAAATCCACAAAGATACTTCCACAATAGACTACTGGCAATGGTCGAGAGAAAGCTCGAACTGACGTACTCTGGTGATCGGATGGCCAAACACCCTAACTGTCGTGGTAGAACTCTCATCCAATGTCTGATAGTAGCGGGTGCCATGCCCCAGGTGGAGCTCCAGGAGTCCAGTCGGCAAGAAAGAGGAGGGATTGTATGAGAGAGAATTGTTGAGACCAAGATTGGAAAAAGCACAGGGATAAATGGTCAAACTAGTGGAAACACATGAACTATGAACCAATAGCTGAGGAGCCCCCAACTGGATCAGGCCCTCTGGATAAGTGAGACAGTTGTTTAGCTTGAACTGATTGGGAGGGTCCCAGGCAGTGGGACCGGGACCTGTCCTTAGTGCATGAGCTGGCCTTCTGGAACCTAGGGCCTATGCAGGGACACTTTGCTCAGCCTGGGTGAAGGGAGGAGGGGACTGGACCTGCCTCGACTGAATCTAGCAAACTGAGCTGAATGCCCAGGAGAGTCCTTGCCTTGGAGAAGGTGGGAATTGGGGGTGGGCTGGGGAGAGGGCTGGGGGGGCGGGAGGAGTGAGGACAGGGGAATCCGTGGCTGATATGTAAAATTAAATTAAATTATAAAATAAAAAATAAATAACCCTTCTAAAATAGATAAGCCAATTACCAGGGACCCAATGTGGAGTACTAGACCAAGAGATATGGTCACATTTCCACAAGGCCTCAAGAACTATTGCTTTTTTTTTTCTTACTCGCTGCAAATCGGTTCCCGTTGTTGACCCCCATCCGTTCCCTAGGAAGAAAATTCACCAAGGCCAGGTGACTCAGACACAACTTGGAAGGCCCCTTCTACAGCCTGCTTGGCTAGGAGCCATGTCTTCCCAGCAACCGGCCTGCTCATTGCAGCTCCAAAGTGTCGCCAGTTCGCTTCTCGGGGGCTCAGCCCATAGCACCTGGAGTCAACCGGAAGCAAGGGTAGCACGCCCATGACTGGATACATGTTAACACGCTGTACCAGGGTGGCGGACCGGAAGACAGCCCTGGTTGGTTGAGATGCTCTGCTCCCGGAACTGTACGGGGCTCCGCCTCAGAGCCTGAAGAAACTCGAGGGAAACCGTGAGCGATTTCGATCGCTTTCACGTCATGGAGCTTCAAAACACCGACTCCTTGCCTCACGAGGAACCTGAGGAGGAAAAACGGAACGGTCAGTGCCTTCTGGGAGTGGTGGGTTGGTGACGTCCGTGAGGGCACTGGT